CTGAAAGACATTTTATAAAACACCTGATTAAAACCCCTCAAAACTGTCAAGGTCACCACAAACCAAGAAAGTGTAAGAAATTGTCAGAGCCCAGAGGAGCCTAAGGAGACATGAATAATGTGGTATCCTGGATGAGATCTAAGGAAAAAAAAAAGGACAATAGGTAAAAGTTAAGGAAATCCAATGGGGTAGAGGAGATAGAAAGTAAAAACAAAACAAGAAATCTCAGTAAAATAAGGACGGTAATCCATAGTCTGTCCATCTTGGTTCACTAGTTATGACAGATTAACACCACACTAATGTCCTATCATGATAACTGCCTCAGCGCAAGAAGAGGTCCGCTTCAGTTTACTAGCCGGAGTTGTGCCAGGCCTGAAGTGCTACCTTTGGCCAAATCAAAAAGGTTCATACAGAAACCTGAGGATGCCAGCGTTCTAAAACAGACCTCCATGTGGTATTACGCTAAGTGAAAGAAGTCAATTGGAGAAAGACAATTATCATATTCCTCCCTATGTAGAATATAAGGAATAGTGCAGAGGATCATAGGGGAAAGGACGAGAAACTGGGAAGAAATCAGAGAGGGAGACAAACCATGACTCTTGACTCAAACAAATTGAGGGTTGCTGGAGGGGAAGTGGGTGATAGGCATTAAGGAGGGCACGTGATGTGATTTGCACTGGGTGTTATATGCAACTAAAGAATCACTGACCACTACATCAAAATAAAAATAAAATAAAACAGACCTCCATGGCTAATAAGATTCACCGGCTAACTCCAGGGCTCCTGGGGAACATGACTGAGGTGGGTACTGCTGGTTGGTCTTACTCTGCCTCAGAGTCATACCCGTGCAGAACTAAAATAGCAGGCCCGGGACTGCTGTCCTGAGAGAAGCCAGCTTGCAAAGTTAACCCGTGGCTGGTGTCCGGGAACTTGCCTGGTAAACAGTTTCCTAGGGGCGCCTGGGTGGCTCAGTCAGTTAAGCTTCTGCCTTTGGCTCAGGTCATGATCCCAGGGTCCTGGGAGGGAGCCCAGCATTGGGCTCCCTGCTCTGCGGGGAGCCTGCTTCTCCCTCTGCCTCTGTTTCTCATGAATAAATAAATAAAATCTTGAAAAAAAAAACTGTCCCTAAAGGCTCAGAGTGGCTCACTGTGCCTAAACTGTACAATGTGTTTTATGCTGAACACCTGCTTCCTCCTGGGAGTCTGGGATTTGGGTATGTGGTTAGGCAGAGCATGCCTACATGTCCCATCCCGGTAAAAACCTTGGGTACTGAGTTTCTAATGAGCTTCCCTGGCACTCATCACGTATATTGTCACAGTTCATTGCTGGAGGAATTAAGTGCATCCCACTTGACTCCACTGGGCAGGGACTCTTGAAAGTTTAGGCCTGGTTTCCTCCAGACATCACTCCATGAGCACATTCCCATTGCTGATTTTCCTTTGTAGCCTCTCAATGTAATAAATCATAGCTATTCAATGAGAAGTTGGGGAACAAGATATTCACATAGTTTTAAAAAAAATACAGAGTGCACCTATTGTCATGAGCACCAGGTATTGTGTGTTGTATCACTAAATTGTACACCTGAAACTAATATTACACTGTATATTAACTAACTGGAATTTAAATAGAAACTTAAAAAAATACTATTATAAAAGATGCTCGGGAGACAGGGAGATTTTAATATGGACTGCATATTATTATTTTTTAAAGATTTTATTTATTTGACAGAGACACAGCTAGAAAGGGAACACAAGCAGGGGGAGTGGGAGAAGCAGGCTTCCCACTGAGCAGGGAGCCCAATGCAGGACTCCCTCCCAGGACCCTGGGATCATGACCTGAGCCGAAGGTCAACGACTGAGCCACCCAGGTACCCCTGGACTGCATATTATTGAATCAGTTTTCTTAGGTATGTTACTGTGGCTATATAGATGGTCTTTTTTTTAAAACAGGAGAAAATCATATGTAATAGGTATATGTACAGGGAATCCACACGGTAACGGAATTCTGAAGACAATGAGGCAACAGGAAACTCCATATGAGCTAAGGGGAAGGGTAGAGGCCTGTGGATACAAAAGGGAGAAAACTCACTAGCAAGATGAAAGGAGATGTTTGCAAAAACAAGACTGTTCTATTATGCAGATGAGTCGAAGGTCTTTATTCTTAGGGCAGATGCTAATTTTTTTTTTTTAAGAAAGACACTGGGGCGGGTGGAGTGGGAGGAAGTGCACAGGGAGAGAAAATCCCAAGCAGACTCCATGCTGAATGCAGAACCTGATGCAGGGCTCAACGCCATGACCCTGATCTCATGACCTGAGCAAAATCAAGAGTTGGACGCTTAACTAAACTGAGCCACCCAGGCGCCCCCAGATGCTGAAATTTTTTAGATAAAATATCAGAAGTGTCAGGATGCTTGCAACTTACTCTCAAATGGTTCCCCAGAAAAATAAAGCAAATGCATCAAAATATTAACAAGTGGCATATATTTATGACTAGTAAATGAGTGTTGCTTGTACTCCTCTTCCAACTTTTCCTTAGGCCTGAGTATTTTCTTAACTGGTCTACCTCTTGCCAAAGCCAATTCTTCCTGAACTCTTTTCCAGTTCCGTAAATAGGGATACATTTTTTAATCCAAATGGCACTTTGTACTGGTCACTTACTACATCTCATATGTACTTCTGTAATTACCCAGCATTTTACAGTTATTACAATGTATTATCGTTTGTCCTCCCCATCCCCTAGGGAAGTTAAGAGGGTTCTGTTACTCATTTTGTATCCTCTTTAGTGCTCATCTCATAGTTGAGCAATAAATAGCTAAACTAAGCACTACGTTAAGATATGCCTATCTTAATATTCTTACACAGATTACAGAGCTGAGACATTAGAGGCCTTCTCCGGAACTAGACTTTATAATCATCAAATAGATTTTAAAATACATATCTGAAAGCTATAAAACCTCAAATTTCAAAGGTCAAGTGCACTTCTCAGATAAGCTGTGCAAAAACACATTTTATGACAGCCTTTTGGCTGCCCCACAGCAGGGCCATTGGGCAGAATATTTAGGCCCATCTGGTGAGAACAGCTGGGTGCCTGCTAGGTCTCCCAACTTGCTGGTCTCTGACTAATAAAAAATAAGATTTGAATCTCAATTTGTTTCTCCTGGTTCACTTATTTTGGGCTCTAGCTCAGCAAAACTATTTTTTGGGGGGGAACTTTACTGATTTAGGGAAACTCTTGTCATCTCCTAGCACATTTTTTTCCTTTCCCCAACCACTGCCTCTTAATGTCTAAACACAACATGGGCCTCAAACTCATGACCCCAAAGTCAAGAGTTACATGCTCCACTGACTCACCCAGCCAGGCGCCCCTTCTACAATTCTTAATCTTGATGAGTAAATGACTTAAAGGACTTAACAAATAACTCCAGCTAGTAGATAGTAGAAACCAAAATCCAGAGGACCGTTCACAGAAATTCTTCTCCTAGGGTGTGTTTGTTCTTAAGACATTGTTTGTCCTGCTCTTATTAGACCAATTAAACCAGACCTACTTTAAAATAGTCTATACAAAGACCCTACTCAAGGCTCAGATAGGTAAAAATGAGCATTTCAGCTTTCATCAGATCATAAAGAAGTCATATGAGCGGAATTTATCCCAAATCATAATCTTCTCATAAATTGTGGAATGTGTAGTATAGATGTGCACAAAGTTCTTATCCGTTGGGTGAAATCAATAGGTTACACATATATCATCAAAGGAAGTGGCACAATTGCAATATGGAGCTGACAAAATAACTGAAGAGAAATGAGTTGCCTTCAGGAAGTAGAAGAGGTTGGGGGTAGGCAAGCAAGGGATTTCCATTTCTCATACAGTCCTGTCTTGCCTTTTCTTTCTTGAAAGTATATACCTGCTTAACAATTTAAAAAGGAAGAGCCCAGAAAAGACCCAGGCACGTGAAACTTAAATACAACACAGGTGTCATGGCAGGTTACATGGAGGAGTCATTTAATAAATGGAGCTAAAAATTGGATATGAAGATGGAAGATTTCTGATCTCTACACAAAACATAACTCCAGATGGATTGGGACAATCTTGTTGTTGTTTTAAGTAAGCTCTACACCCAATGCGGGGCTCAAACTCACAACCCCAAAACCAAGTCTCTACAGACTGAATCAGCCAGGGGGTCCAGTGACAGTCAATCTTCTGCTTCAAACATGGCTAAACTACGGTATCGTTTTTGGCCAAACACCAGTCTAATTGCCGTGAAAGTATGTTTTAGACATGATTAACACTTAAAATACTATGAATAAGATTACTTTCCATAACGTGGGTGGGTCTCATCTGGTTGAAGGCCTTTAGAGAACCTGAGGTCCACCAAGGAAGAAGGAATTCTGCCTCCAGACCAACTCTTCCCTGGGTCTCCAGCCTGTCCAACCGCCCTTTCAACCTTGCCAGCCACTACAATCTCTCTGTACTCAGCCTATCTGTTGTATTTCTCTCAAGAACTCTAGTACCTGGATTAAGCTCTTAGGTAAAAAGAGCAAACCTTTAAAACTCTTAGTAAAAAATGGTTATCTTTGTATATTGTAGGGTAAAGATTTCCCAAATAAGACCGAAAATACTAATCATAAAAACTAACAGCTTGATTACATTATAAACTGCTGCTTATAAAAGGTATGTTAAAGAATACTAAACAATAAGAAAATATTGACAAATGTTCATCATTCTACTCTCAATCTGTCTCAATCTTTCTTAGCATTTTTTTTTTCATTTCCTTGAGAATTTTAGTTGTCTTATCCTTTTCCTGCCTATAGTCTTCTTGGCAGAGAAGCCAGCAAGACTCTTCAACATTACCAAATGTAACCTCTGCCACATATCCAGTTACCTAGTTTATGAATTCTTTAATCAATCACAAAGCACTCTAGAATCTTACAAAGAGCTCAACATGCTTACTAATTTCTCAAACTAATTTCAGTTCTTTTAAAAGAATCACTCAGACTACAGAAAACCACCAAACGATATGGAACCTTTATTTTTAAGGTAATTTCTGTACATCTGGAGTATGAGAGTAATCCTTTTACAAATGGAACTGATTACTAGAATAAATGACGAAAAAACATAACTGGTTATTTCATGTGAATCCACAGGAGTTTAAGCTTCAAATCCAGCCAAGAAGTTTGTTACAATCTCTTTCAGCTTAGCATCTGACTGTTCTGAGATCTTTCCATCAGTCCTATTTGGAAATGAAAAGCAGTTCATCAGTTCTGACCTAAACAAAAATCCAATGACTAGCTACAAGATTCAAAAGAATTTTAACAAGACTTTTTATCTTAAAATTTACAAAACAGAGGCCATCAATTGTGTTCATACCTTATATTGCCCAACAGGGCCTGGTGCTGGCTGATAACATGAGCCAGGAAAGCATGCTCAAACTTTGTGATCTTGCTGGGCTCCAATTTATCAAGATATCCTCTTACACCAGCATAAATAACAGCCACTTGTTCTTCAATAGCCATGGGAGCTGAAAACAAAAGAATGCCAAGTAAGTTGCTCAAATAAATAAATGCCACATTAACAAAGTCAGAAAAACTTACCTTTTCCTTCTAATTATTAACATGTCTCTACATATCACCTACTCTCTCTCTGTGACAAACTCCACATTAATACTTTTTCCCACTTCTCTCCCCAGGAAACAGTTTTTTCCTTGTATTTGCAAGCCTTAAAGTGTAATCTGTGGGCATATTCCACAAGCACTGTTTATCAGCTGGCAGCATTTATACTATTTGAGATATAAATAATCTGCTGAAACTTCACAGCAAGATTAAAAAATACTAACATACTTTTAAATCTGCCCAATTCCATTCTCTCACAGCCAAGGAGGAAAGGGGAGGAGGAAGAGATCTAATAGGTTTACTTCTCAAAAGAGAAATATTAAGTATATTTAGTAAGTTTTCCTGGTTATTCAAATGACAGACTGTATTGAAAGTACAACAGGCATTAATCACATTCAAAACACTGTATCCTTACTGAAAGAACACAACCTATAATAGCTTGTAAGGAGCTGCGGGATACTCCCAGGCGCTTATGCACAGTACACACATGGCTGACATGAAAGAACTCACAATACTGTCCTTGCTTCAGCAGCTCAGTCAGTCGCACGCCACGACTCAAGAGTTGCTGAGTGGCAGCATCGAGGTCAGAACCGAACTGGGCAAAAGCAGCAACCTCACGATACTGAGCCAATTCCAGCTTCATGGTCCCTGCCACCTAAAAAACATAAATGGTCAACTCATGAAACACAAAGATACCCAACCCACTGACAAAGAGCACTATACAAGTACATTATGATTTTAGCCTAATGATATCCCTTCTCCTTGACAAAGTGCTGCAAATTACCTGTTTCATGGCCCTGGTTTGGGCAGCAGATCCAACACGGGACACAGACAAACCAACGTTAATGGCAGGACGGATACCTTTGTAGAACAATTCTGTTTCCAAGAAGATCTACAACATACAGAAAATGACACATGCTAACAAGCTTTAAAAAAAAAAAACTATTTTCAAAATTAAGCCAAAAAACTGAAACCCAACATCTCCAAGGAAAAATGTTAAGTGTCTTCTCATCATAAAGAGCCCCTCCAATCTTTCCCAGCCATATCAACTTACATATTCTATTGCTAAGATTAGTAAGAGATGTGGGGAGAAAAAACAGGCGACAAATTTCTATTAAAATATATGCAGATGACGTGATTTGGCCTCTGAGATTTGCTTCAAAATTATCTAGGGTGAAGAACAGTAGTGGCTATAAATGAAGCAAAAATGAAGTTTTTTGGTAACAAACTGAAATGGGTGAGAGATATGCGGGGTTCATTATACTGTTCTCCTTACTTTTCTAAACATTAAAGTGGAAGGCATTTAACAAATCGTTCATCAACACTAGTTTCAACCAATGCCTTGGAATCATCCAAAGCTTTTACATTTATTTTAATCATAAAAAAATACCTGTCCATCAGTGATGGAAATGACATTTGTTGGAATGTAAGCAGACACATCACCAGCTTGTGTTTCTATGACTGGTAAAGCAGTCAAGGAGCCACCACCAAAAGAATCGTTCATTTTGGCTGCTCTCTCTAGCAGACGGGAGTGTAGGTAGAACACATCACCAGGATAGGCCTCACGACCAGGGGGCCGGCGGAGCAGCAGAGACATCTGACGATAAGCAACAGCCTACAGTACAGTAAAGGGTTATAAAGTCCAATTACTAGAAGCTAAATTTTGTCACCTTCAATTGTGGTGCAAACATACAAACAGATTCTAAAAATATGTATCCTTTGACCTGTTTGGATAAGTCATCGTAGATGATCAAAGCATGTTTGCCATTATCTCTAAAATATTCTCCCATAGAACAGCCAGAATAAGGAGCCAGGTACTGAAGGGGAGCAGCATCAGAAGCAGTAGCTGAAACCACGATGGTGTACTTCATAGCATCTGGGAAGAAAATAAATTTTAAGTTTCTCAAGGTTATCAACATTTTGATTTTAGAGACTATTATAATAAA